AGCAGAGGTAATAAAACACATTAGACAGAAGGATAGCAGCAAGACTGAAAGGGAAGGTTTACAAGACAGCAGTGAGGCCTGCTGTGATGTAGGATTTGGAGAATGGTGACGCTGATGGATAGATGGAAAAAAAATGAGTATATTAGAAGAACAGCTCTAGTCGAGTCGTTTGGTGTCGAATTAGAGAGGCAAGGCTGAGATGGTTTGGCTACGTGCCGATAAGGGACAGTACATATGATGGAGCTGCCGAGCAGGAGGAAAAGAGGAAGACCTCAGAGGAGGTTCATGTTGTAGTGAGGGAGGACATGCAGTAAGTCGGTGTGACAGAGGAGGATACTGGGGACAAGGTAAGATGGAGTCAGATGATCCGCTGTGACGATACCTTAAGGGAGTAGCTGAAAGAAAAACATGGTGATTAATAAAATATGTTAGATGCCACTATATGTGTATCACAAGTATATAGAATCAATAAGTCTCAATGTATTAATTTTATATTTGAGATCATAGACTGCATATAAGAATAGAGAAGGGGGCGGTTGTGTAAATTGGTAACTCATCCTAAGGTCAATAGATATGTATTCTGACCGTTTATTTGTTTATCAAAGTGTTTTAGTTACCCTTGTGGATTGAACTTATTTTTTAATACGTGTAAACTTTATTTCAAATTAATCTCTTTTGCATCGCTAATCAGTAAGTTTCTATCGTGTGTCTAAACAGAGGGTCTACCAGAAGGACTACAATCAAACCAAAACCAAAATCCACATCCCATCCGACATCATCGCTAACCAGGTAGCTAAGCGGTGCCAGGACATGCTGAGTGATGTTCTTTACCGCACCTACCTGCACCAGTGGACTTGCCACCCTGAACAGGAGGATGCCATCCGTGCCCGCAAGACCAACGAAATCCTCAGTGATGTAGGTCCTTCTTCTGTGCACGTCTGCCGCCTGGTTGTGCCTGATTGTTGTGCGAGATCCCTTACAAACTTGTATTACATGAAGCATTATCTAGACATTATACAAAATCCTTTATCTTTGTATTTATATAAACGCCAGAAAGGTTATTACACGTCCCACATTAATAGATGTTTCTATCTGCAAGCAAATATGTAATGTTGTCCGGGTTTATTGTCATTTGATAGGTGTTCTATAAGGATGACCTGAACTGGATGAAGGGTATTGGTTGCTACGTTTGGGACACACCAGAGATTCTTCGTGCCAAGAAGTCCTATGACCTGCAAAGTGAGGTGAGTAAAAAACATGTGATTCTTGAATTGTGTGTGTGTTTATGGGGATTTGGATTTTTTCTATTTGTGTTTGATAATGTACTTATGTAATATGCTCCCGTATAGCTTAAATACAGAGAGAACGCCAAGAAGGAGTTCAACAATTACTCCATTGTGACAGACACCCCGTCTTATGTGACTGCTGTCCTGGGCCACACCTGGGCCAGTGAGGTGAGTGAGCTGCACTTTTAAAAACTACAAAATTTGTGTTTCAGTTTTGAACTCATACTGAGTGGATTAATGAAACATTCATCACTGACAGCTCAACTACAGAGAGGCTTATCAAAAGGAGAAGCACATCTACACCACGGTTCTGGATACCCACGATTACGTCAGATGCCAAAACTTCAAATACATTTTCAGCAACGTAAGTGGAGATCCAGTAAAAATGTCTGTCCTCCTGTCACTGATAAGAAGTGATAGATATCTGTAAATGACATGTTTATGGTGACGTTCTGGCTTTTTCTATCAACAGAAAAACTACACTTCTACCTGGGACAAAATCAAAGCGAAGAGTTACCAGATTCCACATGACGCAAACGCCTTGCAGCACGCTAAACAGCAGAAGATTATTCTCAGCAATGTACGTTTCAATTTTTATTTCATATTATTGTTATGATGATGTTCAATTTCTGATCTTTACAAGGCAATATGAATCCTCTCTCCCGTTCAGGTGAAGTACAAGGAGGACTACGAGAAGTTCAAATCTCTCTACAGCCTGCCCAAGTCACTGGAGGACGATCCTGGAACTGCTCGTTGCGTCAAAGCTGGAAAACTCGTCCTAGATGTAAGCTCCATTTGTTTTGCCCTTACACCTTCCACATATTGACATTTCTCTTTATGAGCAATAGAGCGGCTGTGTTGTTTGATTAGCTCCATATTACAAAAACATGCATCCCTGTGTAGATTTTATTGTGCATATGACAACTGAAAGAACCATCTGTTTTTCCATCATTGCAGCGTCTGTACAAGGAGAACTATGAGAAAACCAAGGCCAAGAACCACATCCCCCCAGACATGTTGGATATCCTGTCTGCCCGCAGTACCCAGAATGCCGTCAGCGAGATCAACTACCGCAAGTATCTGCACCAGTGGATTTGCATGCCTGACATGCAGGTGTACGTGCAGGCACGCAAAGTCAATGAACAGCTCAGCGACGTAAGTAGCAGTCCTCAGCTTTGATATTCTGTGCTGGTTATTGCTTATTTAGTCAGCTCTATCATTCTCTGTGCTATGATCCTATATGTTTACATTTTATATTTTTTCTTATTTTATTTGTTTTTGTTTTTCATTTTTGTGAGAATATTGAAAATCAGTTAAACCACACTGAGTTTTTTCTATTCCTTTTTTGTTTATTTCTTAAAAAATATGAAAGGTCAGGATGTTTTGTTGCCTTATTGTATGTAAAAGAAATCAAATAGCTACATTCTTGAATCCTATGCACTGAAACTAATTTCAGCCACAACATTTTACCTCTCCCCAGATCTTCTACAAGGATGATCTGAACTGGCTCAAAGGTATTGGTTGCTATGCCTGGGACACGCCAGAGATCCTCCGTGTCAAGAACGCTGATAATCTTCAGAGTGAGGTTAGCCCAAGCAACACACTCATTCTCCATCCTCTTCATTGTTTTAAGTTTCTAACTTTAGTTCATCTCCTTTATAAGGATTTTGTCCTAACAGATGATTGCTGTGCTTCATTTTTGATTCTAGAACAAGTACAGAGCCAAAGGCAAAGATGCTTTCAAAGAATATTCAGTGGTGACGGAGACTCCAGTGTACGAGACCGCCAAGCAGAACGCTCAGAACCTGAGTGACGTAAGGGATTTTATTGTCTTAGATTCATGCTAGCTCAGTAGTTTGTTAACACTCTCTTTGTACATTACAAACAAAAAGAAGTAAGATCGCAAATCTCATCTTTTTTTCTCCATTTGTTTTCCCAGCTGCACTACCGCTATGATTACAACGCCAATATCAAGGGCACCAACACCGCTCCTGCTGTTACCATTGAAACAGAAAGAGCCCGTCTGGCCAACTACATCCAGAGTGATGTAAGATAACGTTCCTTCATATTCAGTGTGATTGTTTAACAATTATTATCATATATTGTATAGTATCAATATTTATAATTTTTAACAACATCTCTCATCATGTGTGTTGACTTCTCTTAGAACTGGTACAAAGAAGCTAACAAGAGCTTCATGCCAACCGGTTATTCACTGCCTCATGACACCCCCCTCATCAAGCAGGTCAAGTTGAACACTGTTGTCTCCAGCAATGTAAGTCAAACACACGCTTGGGCAGATCAGAACTTTTTTATTTTTACGGTAATTTGATGTCTCTGAATGACACACTTTTGTTTTTATCCTTGCAGGTGAAATACAAGGAGGCCTATGAGATGGTGAAGGCTAAAGGCTACACTCTTCACCCAGAGGGTGTCAACTTTGTCACTGCAAGGAAGGCTAACAAGATCATCAATGAAGTAAGATGACACACAGCTGTTATACTTAAGCCAGACCCACTGTTGTAGATTAATGTTTCATTTCCTTGTGATGGATGTTAAATGCTGCATAAAACAGTGCTGTGCATGTGTTTCTTGCTCCTCCAGCGTCTGTATCGTGAGACTTACCACAAGCAAAAGGACAAGATCCACACAACCTATGACACTCCTGATATTAAACAAGTCAAGATGAACCAGGAGCACCTCAGTGACGTACGGGCACCCACAGATTACAACATTCATGTCCTTTTTTTTAAAAATTCATGCTGTAAGATGGACTTTTTTTTGTTCCCTTCTTACCCTAGTTGTGCTACAAAGAGAAATACTACAACAGCAGAGGCCAGCTGATATCGTTGCCCATAACGCCTGAGCTCATGCACTACCACCACGTCAATGAGATCACCAGCGACGTATGTAAAGAATAAAATTAAAACAAAATCTCTACAAGGTGGAGTTTGAAGATGTTTTTTAAAATAAATTTTAAAATTGTTTTGTGTTTTTAGCTGAAATACAAAGAGGACCTGATGTGGCTGAGAGGCATTGGCTGCTTCTTGTATAACACCCCAGAGATGGTCCGTGTCCGCGACGTCACCAAATTCAGGGTACGTCTTTTTGGATAGAATGGATTCCTATTTTTCCTTTCCAATGCATATTCAGGCATCTGCATCATTCATATAAACTATTTTTTTCTCTCTTATAGGTGAGCTATCCAGTGGAGGCTAAGAAGAACCTTGCTAAATTCTCTGTGGTCCTGGACACGCCTGAGTATAAGCGTGTGACTGAGCTGAAGACGCACATGAGTAACGTGAGTTGGTTTCCTAAATGTGCTTCATCGTATTATAGCTTCATGTGATCTGGTTTCCAAACAAAAATGAGCTTGCAGTATATTCTAAAAAACAAAAGCCACACGTTTTGACATTCGCTCTGTTTCTTTCCAGCTGATCTACAAAGCTCAGAGCAAGGAGGACATGGCCAAAGTCACCACAACTGCAGACTCTGTGGACATTCGGAGAGTCAAGTGGGCCCAGCAGCTGGTTAACCAGGCAAGCTCAAATAAACAGCATGAATAACTGAATTTATTATATGTATGTGTGTGTCTTTCCTGATAATCTAATCAATATTTTTTCCCTTCTGCTACAGTACCAGTACGTAGATCTGGCTGCCAAACAAAGAGCTCATTTCACTCCAGAAATCAATACTCCAAATATGGGCCATGCTAGAAAAATGAAAGTGTTCTACAGTGATGTAAGTCTGATCCTTCGTTCTCATTTAATGCCGCTGTCACTGAAACCTCAACCTAAAATTGTTTGTATTTTATTTTGTTTACACTATTTACTGTAGCTGCTTTCTACATACTCTTATACTTTGCCAAAATAATTGAAATTACAGCAATTGCAGTCTCCTCTGAAGCCAATTTCTAAGGTGTTGTCTCAATCGTTTCTTCCCTTAGAACAAATACAAAGAACAGTATGAGAAGATGAAACACCGGTACACTGCCATTGCTGACACACCTCTCCTGATCCGTGCCAAGAAGTCCTACCTGCAGTCCAGTGATGTGAGTTTGTTCATTTAGGAAACTTGTGATTTAGTTTGAAACTGTTATGCATTCAGGAATTATAGGAGTCAGACTGTTTGTTAATAATTTTTCCACTGAAAACAGTCAAATTTAAGATATTTCATTAACTAATAGTGAATTTTATCCCATGTCAAAATATAAATATTCTTTATCTGTTTATCTGATTTTACCCTTTTACCACAAATACTGTACAAGTCAGTGTGAAATTGTAGATGCTATAAATCACATTATGTGTGTTTGATGAATGTATATGACACGTTTTCTCCTTCGTTTCTTCAGCTGCGCTACAAAGAAACCTTTGAGCTTTCCAAGGGACACTACCACACAGTCAAGGATGCTCTGGACATCACTTACCATCGCAGGGTCACTGATGACATTAGCGAGGTCGGCAGTTGAAATTATCTGGCTCATTGTTAACTATAAATGTCTTTATAAATGTACATGTTTTGAGCTTTTGCATCTCCATCTACTGTTTTTTTCCTCTCTTATCAGGTTAAATACAGAGAGAAGTATATTAGCTCTCTGGGGACCTGGAAGTCCATCCCCGATCGTCCCGAACTCTTCTTCAGCAAGATTGTCAGCGGTAACGTTAGTGACGTGAGTACTCGTGACTTTATTCACCCTGTGGTAAAATGTTTACAGTTCATTAAAGAGTATTCAGTACAATGAGCACTGAGACACACTACACAACATTTCAATTTAATTTAATCTCATTTTATGTGTTTTTTTTTAGGTCAAGTATAAGGAGGACCTGGATTGGCTGAAGGGTATTGGCTGCTTTGTATGGGACACACCTGAGCTGGTGCAGGCTGAGAGGAACAAGACGCTCTACAGTGAGGTAAAGCATCAGTGACATTAAGCTTCATTTTTATTTATATGGCACCTGTTTATGATTTGCAGTATTGAGGTATAGTTTCTGTATTTTCTTAATAAAAGTTGTATTGTTTGTCTGCAGAGACTGTACAAAGCCTCCTTTGAGAAGAACAGAGGCAACTTCAAGTATACCAGCGACACTCCATTCTTCCAAGCCGCCAAGCAAGCCTCCGTTCTCATAAACGATGTGAGTCCCGTCATTCTTTAACCTCCAGCAATAAATAAAAATTGGATTTAGTTTGTTAACGCATTTGTAAATCAAATGAAACAGTTAACCACATTTCTATTTTTCTGTGCTTCTCTATTGGACTCTCAGCGTGGAGGTAAAAAAAACCAGGAATTCACTGTAGTATTTTATAATTGCCTACACTGTTTATCACTGACTGTTTTTGTGTTTACCCTTAAAGTCAAGTGTTTAAAATGTTCCCCTTTGTTCTTTACATCAGTCAGTTTTTACCTTCCTTAAATTCTTAAAATGTTTCATCCACATGACACGAGATGAAACATTTTGTTCTCTGGGGACTCCTGTTTAACTACCTTCTGACACTTTGAGCAGAGGGCTTACAGAGCAGACTATGAGAAGACCAAGGATAAGTTCACCATAACTACAGATGATCCTAGATATCAACTGGCCAGGGAGAACAGGGAGATGAGCCAGGTAAACGCCCTGGTCACGTTGTACCACCGGCCTGCCACCTCCGGTCTGGTCCCCGAAGAGCCCTGACACCGGTGCATGAGGTTGTCAGCAGGACTGCTGATGGTGGACATCGCATGGCATTTATAGATCTCCCAACTCAAAAAAAATTATTTCCCTTTTGTATCAGTTTCTTCATTTTGTCCCACACAGGTTGCTGTTGAACTGCCACTCAAACAGCAGCTGGAATGCTGAGTGTTATGCAGTGTTGTCCTTCATCTGCTCCATCAGAAATGACAGTTTAATCACTAGCACAGTAACAATTCAATCCACTGAGCCGATCGTCTCACACTCGCTGTAGATGATCATCCCTGTCACTCTGAGGGCACAGATAAGGACAGACAGCACCATCGTCACACTTGGATCCGGAGTTCTTCTCCAGTCCTCCCCCATGTTACTGCTGTTTTCCTTTTGTGTCCTCAACTATGGCATGCTGTGTGTGTGTGTGTGTGTATGTCATTGTGTATGTGGACAGAAAATGTATAAATCCAGAGCAAAGGATCTACTAAAGGGTGGCTGCAATGAGCTACTCCGCCCTGACATCCTCACAGCCCTTTACCAGACCACTATGGGCAGTAAGGTAAACAAAGAGAGAAGGGAAGCATGATAACTCTGATCTCTGTCCACAAACAGGCACAAAATAGACCATGTGTTATATATCATAAGACTCAAGTCATAGATGGAGGTGACTTTGTTCCTCCCTGCTGTTTGTGGACAAGGTCTTATCACATAAAATCCCCATCCTGCAGAAAATCTTTCCATCCAGTCATTCCATTTAAAAGTGGCTTTAACTCCCACATTGTCCATCCTTCTTCCATGCTCTAATCCCTCCATCGCTCATTTGCTTTTCTTCATGGGCAATTCATTACCGAAGCTTTAACACTGTTTGCCCAACTGCCTTTGAGCAATTTGGTATCTAAAGTCAGAAATGCAGTAAAATTTAGTACATTATAGCTTCTCCTGGAATTTGTTAGTTTTGACCAAAATAGCAATCACAGAGTCTTCTCTTATGTAAACTATATATATCTATATCTATAGATAGATATATCTATCTATAGATATATCTATAGATATATCTATAGATAGATCTATAGATAGATATATATCTATCTATAGATCTATCTATAGATAGATCTATAGATAGATCTATAGATATATCTATCTATAGATCTATCTATAGATAGATATATCTATAGATAGATCTATAGATATATCTATCTATAGATCTATCTATAGATCTATAGATAGATATATCTATAGATCTATAGATATATCTATCTATAGATCTATAGATATATCTATATATATCTAGATAGATATATATAGATATATCTATCTAGATATATCTATATATATCTATCTAGATATATATAGATATATCTAGATAGATATATCTATATATATCTATCTAGATATATATAGATATATCTATAGATCTATAGATAGATCTATAGATATATCTATATATATCTAGATAGATATATATGGATAGATGGATAGATGGATAGATAGATAGATAGATAGATAGATAGATAGATAGATAGATAGATTGATAGATAGATAGATAGATAGATAGATAGATAGATAGATAGATAGATAGATAGATAGATGCATATGCCCACATGGTTTAAGATGTTGTATGTATATATATATATATACATACAACATCTTAAACCATGTGGGCACTGCAGACTTTCATGATGGTGGTAAGGCATTTAACTGTCTTTATTGTCACATGAATAATGCATCCCTCTGTGCACGTGCACGTCTCTCATCGAGCATGCCTATAAGCTTTTCCATTGCTTTGTTTCACTCAGTTGATGTTGCATATTGATTTAATTATAACTACATGCTAGCCAACTTGCTCTGATAGTGTTTAAAAGCTATCCAAGAAAAAAAACAAGTAATAAATTTTTCCTTAAAATTAGCTATAATATGCTATAACGCTAGCGATGTTTTAAAATTAGCGCTATCATCTCAACTGACTCTTAAGAAGCTGAAATAGGACTTTTTTAAAAATCTGCAGTAGGGTTGTATATGTATAGTGTCTGCAAGACTTTTTCGATGTTTTCTTGGACAGTTTTTCTAACACTTTAGAAGTTGCTTGTTATATTCATAAAGACAACAACAAAAAATTCATAAAGACAAGCAAATTAATACAGCAGCAATTTCATTGCATGATGCTAACTTTCTTTTGTTTTCACATTATCCTTGTTCTATCAGTGGAAGTATAGAGAGCAGTATGAACGTGCCAAGGACAAGTTCACCTCTGTTCTGGAGACTCCTGAGTATGAGGCCCACAAACGCAGCAAGAAGATCAGTGATGTAAGTTTTGGGTTTGCAAGGTTTTTTATTATTATGTTTAGATTTGTACAAGAACTTGTGAAGAAGCAGTGGGTTTTTTTGTGTTTAAATTTCACCTGTTACTATCTACATCTGCTTAGATCATCTACAAGATGGAGTATAACAAGACCAAGGCAAAGGCTTACACCTTACCTTATGACACTCCACACCAACAACACATGAAGAAGGTCAAGGAGATCACCAGCAATGTAAGTCTGCACTGCACTTTTAAAATATTCTTTCATACACTGGCACAGGAAACCAAAATACAAAATGTACTTTTGCATATTTTATGTGTCTTGCAGCTGAAGTACAAAGAGGTGTATGAAAAGAGCAAGGCCCACATCAACATTGACCCCGAAGCTCACGAGATCCGTGCCGCTAAGGAGGCCTACAAGAACATCACCAATGTGAGCATCTCGAGTGCCAGAATTTTCAAATGACATTTTTAAACCCAAATTTGTGCTAACATCCAGTTTTTGATTCTGTTTTATTTTGCTATATTTCTAGCTTGACTACAAGAAGAAGTATGAAGCAACCAAGAACCAGTGGATCTGGACAGCGGACAGGCCCGACTTTGTCAATGCTGCCAAGAACTCCTTGCAGCAAAGCGATGTGAGTTGGGACCTCTTATTTTAATGTGTGTCATTTTAGCAACATGCAGCACTGTTGCTCTCTTTTTTTCACCGCCATATTTTACCAACAGGTTGAGTACAAGTACGACAAAGAGATCATGAAGGGCTGCGTGATACCTGTGGTCGATGACAAGTTAACCTTACTGTGCATGAAGAATGCTGAAATGGCCAGTGAGGTAAGTTTCCCCATTCTTTATTAGAGACACCATATTTAGTTAAAACTACTAAAGGCCAGATAGTGATGCTTAGTCAAGTCAAGTCAAGTTTATTTATAAAGCACATTTAAAAACAACCGAGGCTGACCAAAGTGCTGTACAATAAAATACAAATATAAAATGCAATAAAACACAAGTACATAAAACACCTCACTGATAAAACAATAAATTTAAACAATAAGTTAAACCTTGCTAAAAGCCAATGAGAAGAGGTGAGTTTTAAGAGCAGTTTTAAAAGTTCCAAGGCTTGTGGAGAATCTGATGTTTAATGTCCTAAACTGCTTCTTTTTTCTTTTGCCCATCCCAGGTGAAATATAAACAGAAGTATGAGAAGGAAAAGGGACACTACATGCCTGTCCTGGACACTCCTCAAATTCTCCATGCCAAGGCTGTGCGTGTTCTGGCCTCAGAGGTAAGAACTGTTCAGCAAAAAATTAACTGTACTATAGGGTATATATAGTATACCCTTAGGTAAAACTTATGAGTTTTTAAATGTTTTTATTCTTTATTTTATTGTTCATCAGAGCAAATACAAGGAGGCCAGTAAGAAGGAAATGCAGTCCGGCTCATTCACCACCCTGTCCGACACTCGTGATACTGCCCACAGCAGGACAGTCAACAAACTTGTCAGCGGGGTATGACTGTCTTACTATTACATGCGTTTCACAAAATGAGCTCAGCCAGCATGTAACCCTGGACTGTTTGTTTGCAGCTGGGCTTGATGTGCTGTTCTATCTTTTTAGAAAGTGTACAAAGAAAAGTTTGAGAAGGAAAAGGGCAAGTCCATATATAACCACATGATTGTGCCGCCTGATGTTCAGCATGCCATGGACGTGGCCAAAAATCAGAGCAATGTGAGTCATTTCCACAAATGGGCTAAAACAGTTGGGGTAGTTGGACTTGGGGGTAATTTTTTCAGCTTTTCATAGTTGTCTGTGGATGTGGAAGTCAGGTTTACTATATTGCATTTCCAATTTTGTCCAACTGGACAGGTGGCCTACAAGAAAGATGCCAAAGCCAGCCTGCACTACACTACTGTAGTCGACCGTCCTGACATAAAGAAGGCTACCCAGGCTGCTAAACTCATCAGTCAGGTAACCATGAAGTACACTGATACTGACTCACCAGCTCAGTACATGTAAATGTGTTTAAAGGCTCAACTCAAGACAAAAGAAGAGAAAAAAAGAGCATCCCAATAGTACCCATCCCTGTACTGTAGTTTCTACATGATCAACTGACTCTTGTCGGGTCTTGTGCCCATCAGATTGGCTACCGTGAGAAAGCACGTGAAGAGGCCAGCCGTGGAGGCTCTCTAGCCCACCGCCCAGATATCGCTTTGGCAACTGAGGTGTCCAAGCTGACAAGCCAGGTACACTAAATGAATTTGCTCACCTGTCTCATCCAGCCCTGGACAGTCGGGTTCCTTTGCCACTGGGTCGCAACGATTGTCATCTCATAGAAAAGGCTTCCCTTGTTTATTCATTTATTCATTCATTTAATTATTTATTTAGGTGGCAGCCAGTTGGAAAGATCAGCTGCCTGGATTTTAACTGTCAGATCAGCTTCCACAAGCTAATATTAGCAGACTAGTAGTGCTGTGGTAGATGCTTAGCAGCAGTCGTGTTGGCCTAATGATACAACTAGCAGCTCTTCCACTGCGCTTCCTCTGCCATCCTGCATTATAATCCATGTTACTCCATGAAAGTAGATGTTTAACCATACCATTGTACATGTCCCACCACCATCCTTATACCTGTCCTCCTCTTCCTCCATCCTTCAATACTATAACTCTTCTTCTCAACCTTAATCTCTTTCCTCTTCTGTCTACTTCCATAACATCCTAGTCTGTGTGTTCTCATCCCTCCATCTCACTGCGCTTTGTAGGTGGAGGATAAGCCCTCCCTCCATGGAGCAGCTTCCTATGATACCCCCCTGATGCGCCACATTAAGAAAATGAGTGCGGTGACTAGTGATGTAAGGAGGTTTATGCCCTAAAACTGACGGACTGCTGCTGCTTGTCTGTCCTCTCTGTCTCTCTGTCCCCCTTCCTGCTGACCCACAGACAGGGTTCACTGAGCCTTTAAGATAAACATCTGGAACTTTTGAGAAAATATTGATTCACAAATCAAATCTTACAAAGTTCCTATTTGATTTGCTCTTTCTTTTCTTTGCAGTGTCCACCCTCTGCTTTTTTTATATTTCCATTACAAGATGTGCCTCATTGCCAAGCATAGAGAACAGCGTTACTGCATTAGCTGCCTGGCGCTAATACTATGTGTTTATTTAAACTGTCTTTTCAGATTTTTCCCATTATTTCCCTTTAAGTCTCCATGTCTGTTTGTTTCTGAATGTGACAAAAGGCTTTTCTAAAAATGAACTTGAATTGTTCTTAAAAACATGTGTATGTCCAGTAGTTCACCGTGCTGTGCTCCATTTTCATCGCAATCCTAAGGGGTGGTGTAGGCCCTCCTAAAAGTTTGGAATACGGTTACAGTAGTGAAAAGTTAGCCACAATTCCTGTTAGATATACACATGTTTTTATAGCACACCTTTTCAAACGTGTTCCTGTGTTTTGCCTTCACTCTAAAGTGGTTTGACCTGTGGAGCCAAACCACACCTGACCTGCGTCCACAACCACACCGCCTTACCTTTTCCATATATATTTTATTATATATGAAGTTCATGTTTGTGTTTATGTGAATTACAGGATGCTTTATTTGCTTATGTTTACAGTACAAAGCATCTTGTCTGATCAGTTTGATCAACTTTAAAGTTAATAAATGCATCAGAATCAGTTTTACATTTGCAACCAATCTATTACACGCTTTTCATTACTGCTCAACATATTTATGAAAGAAAAAACAAATTAAATACTTAAAATGTGGCACAGAGCCTGTGCAAAGCTTTTATAAAACTATCTGCGAGGAATCTGAGTCACTAATCAAATCCAAAAACTGTTGTCCTTCAGTTGTCTTTTACTATGATGGAGACGTCGGCTGATGTTGGTTTCCTCTCAGTCAATACATAAACTAACTTGTACACATATCCTACGCTAATGAACAGGTGAAGTACAAGGAGAAGTTTGATAAGGAGATGAAAGGAAAGAAACCTCAATATGACCTGAAGGAAAGTAAGATTTACAAGACTCTCAAGGAAGCCAGTGTGCTGGCCAGTGAGGTGGGTGCTCGCGTATCTTATCATCACTTCACACCGTTTTTATCATAGGCCAAAAAAATCATTCATTTTTTCCACAGTTGTTATACTTTTGTATAGTTTGTCTGATTGGTTTATCTATGGGAGTAAAGCAATATCTGATTTTGGCATCCTGGTGTTGTTACTAGAACAGAGACAAACTAAATGTATCCTAGTAATTCTTTACATTTCTGTGAAATTCACCATTTCAAACAAATATCGCCCATTATATATTACCATAGTGTCTAATTAATGTGACTGCTGTCAATATAACACACAGGTGAAGTACAAGGGTGACCTGAAGAAGATCCACAAACCTGTGACCGACATGGCCGAGTCCCTGTCCATGAAGCACATCACGAGCACCAGCAAGCTGTCCAGCGACGTAAGCTACCTGTGTGGCTATTAACCTTTAACCCTCTCACATTCCCAAACAGGAAGCTGCAGCGAGCGAGTTTGGTTTCGTTGCACAGTGTGCTGAACTCTGTTTCCATCACCTCACAGTAACAATCGGCAAAATGTAGCAAACTGCTGACCATCTCATGGATTTATGCACTAAGCTCCATCATAAAAGACATCCATCATTCTCTGACCTCATCTGGTAGTGATCTTTACCCATCTCACTTTTGACCTTTGACCCCGAATACTATCACCCTCTATAACCTCTACTTCTTAACCTTTTCAGTGACTTTTTTCCCCCCCGTAGTTCAAACAAAACTAGTCTTTTATTAATGTTCACTTAACACCGACTTCCTCTTCCTGCCTTTTGTAGATTGACAATTATTTTAACATAACTTTAAAAACCCTTATGTTTAAATGCTATTATGTTTCTTTCTATCATAAACTATGAGGATTTTCTGCTAAGTAATGATTCGCTGTACTGAGCTGCCTTACTTTACTGGGAATCCCCCATAGTACTGCTACAAGAAGAAATTTGAGGAGAGTAAGGGTCACTACCACATGATTCCCGACACACCTGAACAGCTCCATCACAAGGAGGCTTCTGAACTTCAAAGTAACGTAAGTGGTTCATACTCCCGTGGGGCAACGAGCACTCAACACAGTAAAAAAAACACTATTGTGGGTTTCAACTGTGTCAGACAGTTTTCCTTCCCACTGTCGCCAAAGTGCTTGCTCACAGGTTGATTGTTGGGTTTGTTGTTGGGTTTTTCTCTGTATGTATATTTTTAGGGTCTACCTTACAGTATAAAGCGCCTTGAGGCGACTGTTGCTGTGATTTGGCGCTATATAAATAAAATAGAATTGAAGTGAATTGATAATACTTTCTATGTTTATTATACTGTAACAATTTTAATGGGCCGAACAAAGAGGCAGATGTAGAATTGGATATTTATTTATTAACCATTCAGTTTCAGGAAGGCATTTAACAAAAAATGTTTGTTCAATCTTTTCTTTGCTGTACCGTAGCAGAGCTTTTGCCCACACAACTGTAATTGTGTTAGTTAAAAAAATGCTGTTAAAATTGATATTTAAAAAAAATAAAAAATAAAATAAAAACAAAAAATACTCATTTTGTAATTGTTTATGATATAGCATATTTGGTATTATAGTTTTCTTTCCAGGGAGTCATTTCTCATATCAAGTCACTGTTAAATACCTTGATTGCATAATCAGTCGCAGTGAAGAGCCGTGCAAGCTTTTCTTTTCTGTTCTCATTTACATTAATTACAGTAATTTAACTTGTCTTGAATCTTACTGGATGGATACACCTTACAGCTTTTCTGTTTGATTTTCCCAGCGTACAGAAATGAATGGAAACCATGTGATATCCCCACAGTGTGTCTTTCCTTTGCAGACAGTTGAGTATGTTTGTGTGGGTCGTTACAGGTGAAATACAAGGAGAAGTATGAGAAGGAGAAGGGCAAACCTATGCTGGACTTTGAGACACCCACATATGTGACTGCTAAGGAGGCTCAGCACATGCAGAGTCAGGTAAATAAGCCTTCTGTTAACCTCTGCCAATGAAGTACGCACAGATGCAGTACGTTTTCCCATTGCAGACCTCTCTTAGAATCTTTAGTGCCTCCTTAAGCGCTATATTAACTTGTATTGTGTTGCCTCTTGTTGCTAGTTGGATGCAAAGCCATTGTTTATGTTATGCTTACAGAATGAATCTAAAGTATGGAAAAACATTTTACAATGCCTTTAGTAACTTTATTACACCAAAACTGCAATTCAGTAATTTTATAGTCGCAAAATGTTTTAAATTGCAGAAAATTCACATCAGTAGCTCTTTACAGTCGTCCTATTGTAATACTGTGGCAGTGTAAAATGCGCTGAAAGGAAACTCAGCTTCTGTATTGTTCACTTAATGCTATGACAGGTTATTTTCCTGTCAAGATGTCAAAGTAAAGTATGTGTTTGGCCTCTTTCCTGGAGCCTGCTTTATAGATTTTAATTACAATATGATATCCTAGTGTAGTTGCTTTTTCACAACAAACACCTCTTACACCTCCACACATGCACTCAGACACATTTACAGACATCAGATATACAGTTATGGGTGCTATCATGAGCAGAATGGTGCAAACAAGAATGAAGGGAGCTGCATTGTGAACCAGCACTGCTTGCATGTGGTTATCTGAGCTCTGTCTGTCCCTTGTGTTATCTCTGTGACCAATAGAAAGACTATAGGAAGGACTTTGAGGAGTACATGAGGGGAAAGAACCTCTCAGGCTTGGAGGTCACCCCTGCCATGATTCATGTCAGACACGCCACCAAAATAGCCAGTGAGGTAACTAAAGGACAACTTACATCTGATGGCGTCTCCTATTTACCTCACCCAAGCTTCATAATCGTACTAAGACAACATCACAATCGGTCTCTTTTTCTTTTCACCACTTTTTTTAGCCCTTCCCAGTTTGTCTTTTGCAGTATTATTAGTTTATTATTAACTTTTGCATGATTGTCTACAGAATAATAATGACCTACCCATCCTCCAGCCATCATGTGTCTTCCTAGCAGTAAAGTACTCAACTAATATTGAATAGATCTTCATTTTACAGTCCTTCACCAAGTAGTAGCTTACCGCCAACTTTATGTGACAAGACTGCATGCATGTAATTATTTGTGTGAAGCAACAGGGTGAAATGCTGATGTGAATTCCCATCTTGTTGATTTCCTTGTTGTTTTAATGAAGATTTTGTTTCTGCTCTTTCTGATTAAATGTGTTTCAACTTGTTTTTTCATTAGAATCCTGCCAAAATCACCAACGTCTCCAGTTTTCTCTGTAACAATATCACCGATTGTAATGATAATACATAAAAGCAGTGAATGTGTCTCTGCGTAACTTGGAAAGACTTGGTGACTTTGAGCTTTTTAAAGGCAAGCAGCAGAACTTGCCGACTGTATCGTTTGTCTGTCTGTGTGCTTTGGCCTGGCCTGCCTGTGTGCCCTTCTCTGCAGTCTCTCTGTTCTTCTTCCGTCCTGTAGAAAGAGTACAGGAAGGATCTAGAGGAGGGGGTGAAGGGTAAAGGTCTAACTGTACTGGAGGAAACTCCGGAGCTTTTGAGAGCAAGAAATGCCACTCAAATCCTGTGTGAGGTACGACTGACCGAGAGGTGATGCGAACAACATCACGCTCTCATCTGAATGACTTCCAACAATCTCGCTCTTCATGAATCCTATCCCCTCTTAACTAAGCTTCACCATTGCACTAAAAGTGAGACTGTTGGGTTCACTCGTCCTCTTGTCCCTGCTTTCTTATGTCACTAATTTCCCATCATTGTATTTTGTGTTTCATGACCATAACCTAACCTTCATCTGCACCCTATTTAATTTTGCCATGATTTTCACTTGTACTCATATTTATTTGTGTATTATGAATCCTACAAAAATCAGCCTCAGTTGTACCCAAAGCATATCTTCTCTTCTCTTGTTTTTCAAGTCAAACATGCAATGTTGAATTTTTATAGAATTTTAATGACTTTATCTTTTTTCATAAGTGATCCCGGTGCTTGCAGATCTCTTAATTGTTTTGTTGTTGTCGGTAGTGTTGTTTTTGAAAAGATATACTCTGAGTGCATTTGAGGTTGATTTGTAGATTGCAAGATAGATGTATAATGACTTAATGAACAAACTGAAGAAGTAGAAATGGTCTCTTTTATGTCATGTCTCTAACTGCTGACTGCTGTTGTTTTATTTTCAGTTCTGTGTCAAGCTTCACACTCAGTCTTGTTACCACATCCGTTACGTAGATTCTGCTAACTTTCTCTATTCTCTGACCCCTCATGATTTCTGGTTTTGCAGCCCTCTTCAGTATGAATGAGTAGAAACCCCGTTTTGTGTTTTTTTTAGAGTAACATTATCATGTGTAAAAATTTTAACTTTTGGTATTTACAGAGAGAGTACAAAAAGTCTCTGGAGCAGGAGATCAAGGGCAAGGGAATGCTGGCTTTGGCTACAGACACCCCAGACTTTATGAGAGCCAGGAATGCCACGGAGATCCTCAGTCAGGTCTGAATCTTAAATGTTTTTTGCATCGCTTTCTTGGAGCAGTGATTTCCAGAGTGTGAGCTGCAGGCCCCTGATATGAAATGAAGGTATTATGATTTAATTATTTATGTAAAAGGAAAAAAAAGAACTATTTTAGCTCCAGAACACATGTTATATCTCATCATTAGCAGGGAAAAATTAGATTCAGGATTAAGGTAATCAGATAGTAACAACCAAATTAAAAGAAGACAAAGAAGGAACTATATTTGCAACATATTCTGTGTCGAACAGAGTGATTGCATGTTAAGGTGGACTGAAAAGATTCCAAGAGTAAGAAAAGTCGAACATTTAGACTAGACAGAGTAAGACTGGGATGATGAGAGGGCTATTTCTTCACACTAGGCTGAGGCTGATTAGGGAAGGGGAGACATGTGGGGAATGAGACACGGGTGAAAAAAGTCAGCACAATGACAACATTGGAAGTAAACTTACATAATGCACAAAGAAAAATCAAGCTTTGAGGAAAATGGGAACTAACTAAATAGAGACAGCACACAGATACAAGGGAACAGTGAAGGAAGTAAACACAAATAACAAAGTCAAAGAAAGAACTTGAGTAAATACAAAATGACAGTTCAGGTCAATTTGTATTCACGAACATAAAAACAGGCATCAAAAACTCAGAAGACAAGAACTAGGCTAGAATGGTACAATAAATAAAACTAACGTTTGGTGAAACTATGAGCACACGTCCGGTGTTAAAAGGAATATCTGTTAATATTTTCTGCTGCATTTATGATCAGTGCTGACTGGCTGTTTTTCTTTTCCAGTCTAAGTACAAGCAGACCGCTGAGATGGACAGAGCCAGCTACACAACTGTCATCGATACCCCTGACATCATCCATGCTCAGCAGATGAAGAACATCGTCAGCCAGGTAGGTTACTGAACTGACCCAGCCACCACTCTCATCAGGAAAAATCCTTAGCATATATAAAAAAAATCACAAATTGTATTATCATCCAAACAGAAAAAATACAAAGAGGAGGCTGAGAAGACCATGTCTCACTATGTACCAGTCCTGGATACTCCAGAGATGCAGCGAGTCCGCGAGAACCAAAAGAACTTCAGCACTGTAAGTAACACACGAGGAGTTACGCCGCGTCCGGACAGGTCAGCACGTCCTGACTGAGGTTCTTTCAGCATCTTGTGTCTCTATGTGCGTCTTTATAGCTGCTGTAAAATTATATTTCCAGTACTTTATATGTTTGCAGGGGCGCCACCAAGGGGGGGCCACAGGGGGGCCACTAGCCACACTTCAAAATTTGCTGCCCCCCCACCGAATGCCCCCACCCAGCAAGATTGTCCAATGTTGGTAATAATTCTAATAAACATGGGCACAAAAGAGAGGAAGACACCATACATTTACTCATTTAATCCTGTTTAAAACAGATTATTATGGATTTCATAATATTATTTGGTTTTCACAGACACCTAAGCTAGGCATAATTATTCTTTTCTCCCATATTTTTTGCCTTATTTTTCAAGTAACCTATATTTCACAACTGCATAATAAAACTGGAAATTCTGTTTTTGCTGTGCTACCCCATTTTTTTAGTTGTGGCCCCCACATGGCCACCCCTATGAAAAAATTCTGGAGGCGCCTCTGTTTGTATGTACTGTTTTAATGTTCTACTCCAGTTAGTTTTGTGCCTTAATCAGGGATATACGTGAAGACTTGACCTCTTTTTCATTGTGAAACATCTTAACTGCACTTTTGTTTTTCTCCTTGTAGCTTCAATACCAGGCTGACCTTAAAAACATAAAGGGCAAAGTGTCTACTGTAAAGGACACTCCTGAAATGCTGCGTGTTAAAGAGAATACAAAGAATTTCAGCTTGGTATCTACTCCGTAATATTTTTTCTTAACTTTTTCTAATATCACATTTTTTACATAATTCTTTCAATTAATTTTTTTTGGGTTTGGCGTTCCACATTTTTTAACAAACCTTGATATGCAGCCCTTCTTTATTTAGAGCAAATTATTTTATTTTTTTTAACTTTGCAAAACAAGCAGTTTTTAATTTGTGTAACTAACTCTTAACCCTTGGTTCTATACTTTAACCTTTACTTAAAACTCTTAGTGCAGACGTTGTGGTGTGAAACGCTTTGCTCAAAGTGTTGTAATCAGGCAAAATGCGTGTGCTTTATTTTTAAATGTTTGTATAGATTTTGTCTCATTCTGTGTGCTTTTGTTGACGTGTGCTCCCAAAGGTGCAAGATAAGTAAATTAGCGCTCGGTGAGGCTAACCACTCGTTTATGCTTTGTTCCTCGTCCGTGTAAGATTAAGTACAAAGAGGATTTGGGAGGAGGAACAGCTTTGCCCGAGACCCCTGAGATGGAGAGGGTTAAACGCAACCAGCGCAACGTCAGCACGGTACTCAACAGAGTGACCCTGCCCTACCTCATTACTCCTCAGCCACTCCTCCCTCCATATTTCCTCCTCCTCTAGCATCAAAGAATAAAACCAGACCTGCCATCACATCTAATCTCTCCAAATAATAATTATATATTCAACTGTTTTTGTTTTTTGCAGAAACCTGTTTTTCATTCTAATTTTTTTTTGGAGCCCAGAAAAATCCCTAGATGCTAAGAACTAGATGACCAAAAGTATGTGGAGACTTTATTGTGCCTTTGTTTGGGGCTGTTAGTTCACATTTGTTCATTTCAGAGGACTTAACAGACTTGGGTACATGAAAAAAAGCCTTTTATATTTGGACCCTGACAGAACCCAGACCTCATCATGCAGGCTCAGCGTTTGAACTTATTAAGAGTCTTGTGGCTGATGTGGAGCAAATCCCTGCAAACACAACAGTAAATGCAACACATGAATGTCCATGCTTTTAAAATGCAGTCTCAACAAAACACGGTTGTATTATTTGTGTATCCACATACTTTTGGTGATATAGTGTAAACAGATGGTGTTTCCACTGTGAAATAATTAGAATCTTATCGTCCACAGGGGACTGTGAGGGCTTAACGGACTCATAATTAATTTCATCTGAACCTTGAAGTGATAAACTAAACTAAGCATCACCCACATGCACCTGTGTCTGAAAACCGATATGATCAGTAACCTTTTCATTTCAGTTGTTCTGAAGTCAACACCTGAAATGTGTGCGTTCTTTGTTAAATGTTTGTATAGATGTTTGTCTCATTCTGTGTGCTTTTGTTGACGTGTGCTCCCAAAGGTGCAAGATAAGTAAATTAGCGCTCGGTGAGGCTAACCACTCGTTTATGCTTTGTTCCTCGTCCGTGTAAGATTAAGTACAAAGAGGATTTGGGAGGAGGAACAGCTTTGCCCGAGACCCCTGAGATGGAGAGGGTTAAACGCAACCAGCGCAACGTCAGCACGGTACTCAACAGAGTGACCCTGCCCTACCTCATTACTCCTCAGCCACTCCTCCCTCCATATTTCCTCCTCCTCTAGCATCAAAGAATAAAACCAGACCTGCCATCACATCTAATCTCTTCAAATAATAATTATATATTCAACTTTCTTTTTACAGATATCTGTCCTCGTGCTAATATTTCATTTTTATAACTCATTAGAGGACTTTTCTTGTTTCCACTGTAAAATAATTCACAGTTTATCATCCACAGGGGACTTTTAGAGCTTGTGTAATAACTCATTGTTAATTTCATGTGAACCCTGAAGTAATAAACTAAACTAAACATCACTCACGCTGAAAACAACCTGCATATTTTTACATTAGTCCCTTTAAATATACATAAATATGTCTGGAAATCAGTATGATCAGTAACCTCTAATTTCAGGTGTTCATGTTGTTTTTATGAATAGCTGCCTGTGTGTGTGTCTACAGTACATACTGTGCTTTTGTTTGTCACCGTCTGATTTTGCACCTGTGTAACTTGTGCAATGGGCAGATACAGTACAAGGACTCTGTGGGTCAAGGCACAGCCATACCAGATCTGCCTGAGGTGAAGCGGGTCCGAGAAACCCAGAAGAATATCAGCCTGGTAGAGGAAAAAGACTGCAGTGACCCTAATATGACTTCCTTATAATAACTCCCCCCAAACGCCCTCTGATCTCATCTTACTTATCTAGAAAACTTTACCTTTCCTGTATTTAGCGCTGGTTTTCCCCTCCTACATCCTAACCATGTTCCATACGTCATTTCCTTTTACGAGACAAAAATACCCTCCCTTTTCCTAATTACTCCGCTTTGGAATTTTTCTGTCTTTTTTAATTTTTTGAAATTCCTTCCTTCCCTCCTAAATTGAAAACTAATCATCTTTTGAGTGTGTTACAACAATAATTGACTTTTTTGTGCTGTTTTATTCAAAGCATCAATACAAAGAAGGCGTGGGAGGAGGCACATCAATATCAGAGACGCCAGAAATGGAGAGAGTTAAACGCAATCAGCAAAATATTAGCACGGTACTCCACTGCAGTGAACCCCTAGTCTCCGATTTGCATCCGTTCATCCCTCCACCTCAAACAGTGCCATAACAATTCTCCTTAGCCTCCAGTAGATCTTCCCAGTAGTTGTTGTGTGTGTCTAACATAAACCTGCTTCTTTATTTTTTAGGGAACGATGTGTGTTTAATTTCATGTTCTGTCTCTGCTGTGATTTTTGGTGCCGCTTGTGGCTTTTTGTCTGCGTGTTTTTCTGTTATTGATCTGTTACTTACTTTTTTTTGTACTTTCTCTGCACGAATCCCCAAATTTTATTTGGTTAGATAAAATACAAGGACTCTCTGGGTCGAGGAACAGCTATATCGGATCTCCCTGAAGTGAAGCGAGTCAAAGAAACCCAGAAGCACATCAGCTCGGTAGTGGAACCGTACCACGTTTGCTCCTAACTGTGAACAGTAGAGTCCTATAATAATGCCTATCATACACTTCCCCCTTCCTCATCATCTCTTGCTCATCTCATCAAGCTCCATCCAGGGCCCAGACTGCCCATCCATCTAATTTACACCCTTGCCTTTTTCTCTTTATTATTTTAATCCTCAATCATCAGTCCCCTAAACTGAATAAAATCTTCCTTTTTGGTCTGTGAGTCTACTATCTTCTAACCTGCAGCTCATCTTTCTTCACATTAAGCTGCTGTGTGCTGCTCTTAATTTCCACTTCACAGCTAAATCTCCTGCTAAAGCATTAGGGATGTTTGTCTCCACGTACAGCAGAGATCCTGGCTGCTCAGCAGGAGCTACCAGGATGGATCACTCTATAGGACCAATTTCTCAGACGCTGCTTGAATATACCAAAATAATATACCAAAAAAATGCCACCAACTAAAGAAATGACCTCTCTGAGTTTAATCAATCTCAGATATTTCCAGAAAACTCCTCCTTGTCTATGAAAGCAGTCCTATAGGTGTGTGTGGTCTGTATGTTTGAGTTTCTGATTGGCCCCTCGGGGTGCTGTGCTTCTGCCCTGTAGGTGTTGTATAAAGACAGTTCAGCCAAGGGAACGCCTGTGGTGTTTACTCCAGAGATGGAGCGGGTGAAAAGGAACCAAGAAAACATTAGCTCGGTACCTTTCAGAACCTGTAGAACATGTTCTGCTGAAGAAATGTTCTACTCCTACCTCTTTTTAACCCTTGTCTAACTCTGATGTGTCCCCCTGGCTCTTGTTAATCGTATTAATTCACCTGACTGCACTCTCTCTCTCTTTTTTTTAAAAATATGTTTAATACCTCCAGCTGTGGTGTGCCTGTGCACATCATCACTGCTAATCTCTCCTGCTGTTTTCCCACTTGATCTTATTCCTTTCGGTCTCCCACTGAAGATTGGAAAATAACTTTATGTCCTTTTAATAATTCGCCCACTTAATAAAAGTCTCCCTGCTAATTCATCCCAGTAGTGCCATAGCTCATCCCAGCAGCTGCCTGTGTCCTCTTGGCATTAAGTCTCTCTGACCACACCTCTTGTGCTGTGGATGCTAACAGCTATTGAATGATGGTTTGGGAGTGTGAAATATTTTAGATCCTTACTACTTTTGATCTGTCATTTCTAGGTTCTGTACTCTGACAGCTTCCGCAAGCAGGTCCAGGGCAAAGCCGCCTTTGTTCTGGACACACCTGAGATGAGGCGCGTCAGGGAGACTCAGCGTATCATTTCTGGGGTAAGTTTTTGTGGTTGTTTGATTAATTTCTGTTCTAAGTGGAAAAGTGCTTTCGTTGTTACTTGACTACTTGAAGAGTAAGGCTTCAGTACTCTTTGACACCTCATCATCTCAAAATGATTCAAAACAAGAATCTGGTCGCCAGTCTTAAACAATGTTGCTACACAAAGACAAACTAAAATTAGAATTGATTCAATAATGGAGAAATAATGGGTTTGGTATAGAGGAAAAAGACAGACAACACATTTTAGTATTTTAAGTAGTTAAAGTGGAGGCTGGCATCGATGCCAGTTTGGTTGGCTCGTGCAAAATGGGTCCATCCACCCTGCAGCTTCACTTACTGTATTTGTGCACTTCAGGTGAGATACCACGAGGACTTTGAGAAGAGCAAGGGCAGCTTCACTCCCACCACCACTGATATTGTGACAGAGCGCGTGAAGAAGAACACGCAGGACTTCAGCGACATCAGCTACCGTGGCATCCAGAGGCGCGTGGTGGAGATGGAGAGGAGACGTGCCATAGAGCACGACCAGGAGACCATCACTGGTAACGACAACAGCAAGCACTTCTCTGAGCTTTAGGAGTTGTTAGCTTGTTAGCAAAAAATAAATAAAACTGAAAGACAAAATACCTCAAAATTACATTCTGGAGAGACATACCTGAAGCAAAACTGTAATACGGACTGTTATCGGCTGATCTATTCATCTCCTCAGATCTGCGTGTGTGGCGCACAAACCCCGGCTCTGTGTTTGACTACGACCCCGCTGAGGACAACATCCAGTCCAGGAGTCTGCACATGATGTCAGGTGATTGAAATTCTAGAGGATCGATTCAGAGAGCCAAAGCTTTAGTTATGCTCCCGATGGATTTATTCAAAGTTATCATTAAATGTCAGGGAAGCTAAGTGACTGGCAAAGGATTATGTATTGCTTCTCGTGTGTGAAGCAGGTGTGTCACTGATAGTTAAATAATACGCATTTGAAATAATGTCTTAATGCTGTTCTGACAGTACAAGCTCAGCGTCGCAGCAAGGAGCACTCCCGCTCCACCAGCGCTTTGAGCGGCGTGGCTGATGAGAAGTCTGAGGTGTCCCAGGATGCTGACCACCACATGTCCCTCTACAGCAATGGCTTCATGACCTCCTCTATTGGTAACCCTCATCAGACTAAACAGCAACAAATACACTTGAGAGTGAAGAATAATTTCCCCTCTACTTAATCTGTTTGTTATTTTAACATCTTCAGGCTACCAGCATGCTACTGTGAAGACCGTGGAGCTGCAGCAGAGGTCATCTTCAGTGGCCACCCAGCAGACCACAGTCTCTTCCATTCCCTCACACCCCTCTACTACCGGGGTTAGTAACATACATTTATATTGTACATACACTCCATTCGCTTTATGTGGTTTAACTTTTCTCCTGTGGGGAGTGATGCTACAGGTGATGCTTGGTGTGGTCAGGTAAAGCAGGTTTGAAACGTTCAGTGGGATTATCATTATTTTAGTACATCAGTTACATTATTTCATGGCCTGAAGAAAAGAAGCTGAATTTAAAATTTCTGCTTGTTTCTTAAGTGTGTCCATCTCTTTCCTTCAGAAAACCGTGCGTGCCATGTATGACTACACCGCAGCCGACAGTGACGAGGTGTCCTTCAAGGACGGCGACGTCATCGTCAACGTGCAGTCCATCGACGAAGGCTGGATGTACGGTACTGTTCAGCGTACCGGCAAGACCGGCATGCTGCCAGCCAACTACGTTGAAGCAATCTAAAGACAGAGCCCGCCCACGGTCCCTCCGTAGTGGGCGCGATGCATCCACAGGGCAAACTCATCGGTCTTCCTGTGATCACAACTGTGGCTTAGTGCAATGTGTAGCTTGTAGTGTCTGTACTTGTATTTTACTTGTATTGTGATTCTCGTGGAGTCTGTCATCATTATTATGCTGCTGCTCCCGCTCCCTGTGGATGTGACATTAGCTTCATGCCATGACCCATATAAATAGATCTGATTATACATAATGTGCCTACTACGAATGACAACGTGTTAGATTGTTTTAACTATTCTGTTCCTGTCCTGGAAAAGCGAGGCTAACACACAAACTGGCCCTTTGATTTTGTACATTTCAAACATTTCATTTACGTTATTTATCATTTTTTTGTCCAACGTATTTTCTCTGAAACACAACGGGCTCGAAAAGTTTCATGTAACCCTTTTAACGGAGAGTCCATGTAGAGAAAATATGAACGTTAGAAAGGAGTAAGTCACCATCTACCTCCTCCATGATGAAATCATGAGAAGCTCTCTGCGCCAAGCCTCAGTTTTCCCTCCTTTATAACGAAGGCTGGCCACTAGTAAAATGTGTGTTTTGTTTCTCCCGATTATTTAGGTCCTGGCTAAAGCACGTCCTCTACCTTCAATCAGTAGCTAATAAAGCACACCAAGTTCCTGCACCACTCTGCCTCCTCCTCTTCATTTCAGACTCTTTCATTAGATCACTGCTAAAAACTCTTTTCACTGCACCAGTCGAACAGTAGAAGTTCCCCGAGCCAAATACAAAACAGTCTAGACATGAGCCCTTCTCAATTATCGGTTCTTACATCCTTCATTCTTTTCCTCACTTCCTCCCCTTGAATTCATCCCTCCCCTCTGAGGAGGTGGCAGGCCGAAAAGACGGGGGAGGAAACGGGGAAATGACTAAATGAGACGTGTTTGCTTTGGAGCGGGAATTTTAGATTAAATATTTGTGTGGTTACAGCTTCATCATGTCCATTGTTTCCTTATTGCCTATTACAGCTGTGGTTTATTATCTCAGATGAGGATGTGTTAATAGCAGAGCTCATTTCATTTCACAGTTTGTGTTTTTTAGATCCTACACACTTCACCTTGGAGCTGAAAGCTTGATCATCAGTCTGTTGATCATATTAAAAACTCAAGATGTATGAATACAAAGCAATAGCTTCTTGGTTTGTATGTTCCAGCTGTGTCACGCGTCTTTCATACATCGAGGGTAGTTATAAAAAATCCAGCACTATTGGGTGAAAGGCAAAGCACGGCAGTGAACCAATAATCTCCCAACACTGAAAACATTTTTAAAACATAAATAAAAGTCTGAGGCTGAACCATGATGTGAATCCTGCTGCTGCCAGTCTAATTTTGCTTAATAAGAAGTGAAAACAGAAGTGATTTTCCTCCAACATTTTTATTTAAAATGTGTCATCTTTTTTCCTGCTTTCATTAAACGCTGATTTATTTTTCCAGTATTCTGAAAAAGCTTTCAAAAATATCTTTAATCAGAGAGCGTGTGTTCGAAAACATTTAATGTTAACGAAATAGAAGTAATAAAATTAGTCATTAAAAAAAAACACTATCCGTATGCTAGATTTGTCCTTAATGCTGAATCATTGATCGCAAGGTTTACAGGTAAAACTTAAATAAGGCAGATTTCTGATGAGAAAGTGAGTGAGACGAAGCGTAGAGCGTTATCTTCACAGCCAGTAAACACTTTAAAACACAACAAAGTGGTGACAAATCATTGGACTGAAACACAGCTGAGCTGCAGGCATCCTTTTGGTGACACAAGAAGGTAATAAGTAAAGTTTCCCATGGCCCAGAATGGACTAAATGAAAAATCTTATGCCCGGATCCAGTGAGTCAACCACTGGAATTGGCCGGAACATTTTTCTTCTCAAAAATGTTCACAGAAAACATCTTTCTGTCCTCAGTCAGAGGTCAGAGCAGTTTGAGGGCTTAGAAAGAAATCCGGCAGTCGTGTTATCAGCACGACAAATATCACAGGTTACATTAAGGCTCTTCAGCATCACACGACACTGCTGCAGCTCGCAGCCTGCTGTTCACGTTCGAGTCAGCTGCTCGCTCGCTGCAGAGTGAGCAAACCCGCCCGCTGCTGATACTGACTCTCCTTGGCTTGTGTGATCTTGGCCGACAAATCCAGAGGCTTCTCGAAGAAGTTCACCAGCGCCTGCTCCGTGAGCAGTGAGGCCAGGATCTGAGCGTAGCTCACCGTCCACTCGTTGTCCGCTGTCGCCGAACTCCTGCTGCCTCTGCGGGCGTCGACCCCGCCCGCCGCCGTCGAGCCCTCCTGGCTGTTGGCCTCTGATCCGGCGATTTTACCGCGATGGCCGACCTCGCCGATCTGCAGCACGAGACTGGTGACTGTGGCGATAGCCTGGAAGAGCTCGTTCTCCTCCGGGTGGAACATGCTGTAGAGCGTTTTACAGAACTGGATGAACTCCGACTGCACAAGAAGGAACAAAGAGAGTTAATCAACAAACTTCTGCATGTTTGTCTGATTATTTAACGCAGAATACATTTTTTTGTCTTGACTTTTTGTCAGAAATCTGACTTTTTTCATACATCTAAAAAAAAAAAAAACCCCAACAAAACTCTGAATTTACACAAGAAAGGTGAGAGCATGCGACTCCTATACCTGGTTCATGAGAGGCAGAGGCTTCTCCACATCTTTCTCCTTCTCTGTGGCCAGATCCTGGAGCATCTGCTTCAGCTGATCCTGGTAATCTGTCACTTCACCGTCATCACCTAAAACAACAAGAGAGAGAGTTCTTCAGCCTCACAAGTAAATCCCCCTGATAAGTGCAATAACGTGACGAGGGAGCGTGTTTGCACTGACGAGGGGGCAGGTTAACATAGAGAGGTCTGTTTGTGGACAGCAGGGGGCTCTTCATAACCGAGGGGTCATCTTCAGTTTCTGTCAGAGCTGCAGATGCGAACAAACGCAAAAGGAATCAATAAATCGCCGACATGAGAGTAGAGCTCAATAACTCGTCATCGTAGTCACATAATGAATAACCTGGAGGGATGTGAAGGCAGTAAAGCAGCCTTATTTTCTCATTCAGCTCCCCAAAGTACAGCGTGTCTGGAAAAAAAACACAAAAAAAACATGAGGAGACAGAGCAAAGTGAAACTTCTTTTTATTTCAGCTTTATGCATTTTCCATTTCCCCGCCTGTCCTCCCTCTACCTACCCAGCCAGCTGGCAAAGTCTCTAAAGGTGACCAGGTTGTCGCAGTCCTGGTCCAGGAGGGTGAAGGTGCGGTTGGCCAGCGTGTCGGTGTGCTGGTTGGAGACATCGGGCCACGGCACCAGCAGCCCGTACTGGCTTTTAAACTGAGGTCGGTCCAGCCGATACTGCCGTTCTATAAAGGAGCGATTCGAGTCACAGTAGTGCCACGCTGCTGCCTCTGCCGCCGCCGCCGCGCTGCTGTCCCCCCAGTACAGAGTGATGAAGTGCTCCGTCTGCAGGGAGGAGGAGGACAGAGGAAAACAAAGTGATTTAAGGTCTCTTTCGCACATCAATTAGTCTGTCAGCAAGGAAGGAAAATAACCTTGAAGAGATCGTAGATGTCGGCCAAGTTCTCTGCAGGGATGGAAACATCTGGCGACACCAGTCTCAACTGTAAAGGCGCATAAAAAAAAGGGAGCATTATAAACAGCTGAGAGCTGGGTATGTGTAATACTGTTGTGTCCTTCAAGCTTCTTTTGAGCAGCTTTAAAGATGTTTGAGATTCTGTGTCAGTCTTCTCACCGCATTTTCTTTGGTGGTGTCTTCGTGTGCCTGGAGCACCTGGATTCTGTGTCGACAGCGGAGCTGCTCAATCTGCCGCACTGTCAGGTCTCCGAATTTCTGAGGTCAGAGAGCACAGCATGAAAGATATCTCATGAACTGTGATGACTAAATGAGGATTATGAAGAAGGGCGAAAATGTAGTTGAATAAGCCAGAGGTGAAAAGCTCACTTATCTAACAAAAGGAAGCGAAAGAAAACAAGTAAAGGAGCTGGTGCACAATGTGCACAAACTAATTATTTAAGGCAAATATCAGGCAAAAAATGTGCATCTCTTACGATATAGGAGTCATTGATGAGGTCAGTGATGTTTGTGTGCCTCTTAGCGACACTGCAGCTAGTTTCCTCTGCAGCAGGCGAGGAGGACGGAAAACCGGGGCACTCTACATTTCCAACCTGGTCCAGAAAACTGGGAATCATAGGAAAGCCAACGAGGTGTTAAATTCCACCCGTGCACATACAATTATAAACCATACAATGCAGACAAAAGCACAAAGCATTCATGTCAATCAGTGGCACAATGCTTTGAGTTTTGCTTTACCAGCAAGCTGCAAACCTACCCTGTGAGAATCATAAGCGCCTGCCCGTCATCTGTGCTGGACGAAAGCTCCGCAGCATTGGCCTCCAGCACAGCCAGACCAAGCTGGAAGATGGCTTTGATTCCGTGGAAGAAGAAGCAGTCGACCACGCAGACGGCGCTGTGGAACGGCAGGACGCTCAGGAACAGGGTGAGGAACCAAGACAGGGACACAGAGGAGAGGGTGGAAAGGTCTGGAATCTGTTCAGCCAGCTCTGGCAGACGCTCCCTGATGAGCTCCTCGAACACCGACTGGTCCACCTGAGCGCCTGCAGGAGAGGGCGGTGGAGTCAGACAGTGTTGGGGCAAAGAACGGCCTTGGATGTAAGCCTGTCCAAATTTTTCTCCAAGTTAAATATATTCAAGACGTGTTATGATTCTCATAAGTCTGACCTGTTTGATGCCCATTTTTCCTTAATATATGGCTTTTTCATCATTCTGACCACTAGATGGCAGCATAAACATGCTATTCAGTCTGTGCTGTTCTGCAGTTCCACAAAAGATTTTTATAGTAAGGCTTTACTTCTCTTTGCTAAATAGCTGCTGTGTTCTGTAAGGACAAGTAATGTTAATGTGGTTTCCGTGTTTTAACTAGAGGCAGGTTGTTGCCAGAATAAATATATCAATGGTTTTTGTGGGGATTTTTTGCCTCTTTTGAAACGTGGAAACTGTTTACTTTAATTTTTTTTTTAAGTAATGTTGTGAATCTATGCTTCTACAGAGTCTCAGACCACAATCACTGTTCTTTCAAAAATAAGTGACGCCCACAAACATGTGGACATTAAAAGGAAAAGGAAATTGCTACAAATGCAACACGCAGGGCAAAAATAAACACCTTTGCAAACACAGGAAATAATGCCTATTCTGAAAGCCTGTCTCAGAAACGGTACATGCACCACAGTAACAGCAGCAACACAGTAACCACTTATGTGCTTTTTTTAAAAGCGTGGCTGCAAGCAAATAAAGCTTCTGGGCTCTTTACCTATGACCCTGCGATTGAAGTAGTCGGGCAGCATTCTTTCACACACGGCCACCAGCAGCCAGAAGGCATCTTCCTCTTTAGCATACAGCAGCAGCACCGATGCCAGGATGTTCATAGACTAGTGAGAGAGAAAGCAAAATTCACACATGCATCTTAAAGTCAGGATGAACACTTGAATCACATGAGTGCTTCTAGTATTACACTATAAGTGCCACCATTATAAAAATGACTAATACTGCTGCTTACCTGACAGTATCCGATCTTTGGGTTGCGGTGAGCATACGCAGTGAGGACGCGCCTGAGTGCAGCAATGCCCGTTGGGTTTTGGAAAGCGGGATGGTCTGGCAGTGAGCGGTGCAGGTCCCGTTCGATCTCCTCTGTGGCCAGGTTGTTATGGCCCATTGATTTCTGCACCAAGCTGGCGTAGTAGCCTTCATGGGACCCTAGGTCAGAGGATGCATCTGCACAAACCACACAGGAATTAGAGAACGGAGAATGACCTGCTACCCCGTTTTGTTCCCCAACGATATATATATATGCTATAAGAAAAATCCCAGGTTAAAATTATTCTGCACACCTGTGCCTTTTACCTTCGATCGGTTTCATTCTTTGCGGCGCACAGGAACTATGTTTGGATAAAAGGAAGTGAGACTGAGCAGAGGAACGGACCACACACCAAAATAAAATCTGACTGACTGAAAGAGTGCCATTGCCTGAGGAACAACAGATGCAGAGAAGAGGATGTGAAGCCCAGGTTGGGTTTAAACACAGACACACACACACACCTGTAATTCCATACTTGTGGGGACCCTTACAGTGATTCATTGCCTGCTGGGGCCAGGACCACAGTGAGACTTAGATTTAATCTCAAAGTGTGTCTTCTTGTTTTGTGTGTGCTGGCCTACCACATCTGTGTTTTTACTCAGCAGATACATCAGTGTATCGCTCATAATTAACCACAGCGTTCTGCAGCGCCATGCAATACCCTCTGGTATGAGCCTAGTTGGGCAGGGGTTTATCCGAAAGCAGGATAATGACCCAAAACATGAGTCCAAGCTAGGCCAGAATTACCTCTGGTAAAAAGTACAAGATGATAAGCTTGAAAACATGGAGCAGACAGCACTTAAACCCCATCGAGCTGGTTTGGGATGAACTGGACACAAGAGGGGAAGCAAAGCAACCTACAAGTGCCGCACATCAATGAGAACATCTGCGACAGATATGAGAGGAACTTTCTGAACAATATTCCTGTTGTAGAAAGAACGCCACGGGTGTGTTCAGCAGTTATATCTGCCAAAGGTGGCGACTTTGATGAGTCAAAAGTTTAGATTACATTTTGGTCAATAAATTAATTCCATGATTTCTTTTTTAACTCCAATTGCTTTTATTTCAGAGTACAATGACACATTAAACTGCATAATTTTCAATACAAAAATTGAAACATTGGGGTATGTATATGTATACACACCCCAATTTTCACATAGCATGTAGGAAATATGTTCCAGTTTTGCAGATGTGCCACAATTGCGTGCAGGCTAAAACAGCCTAATTAACTTCTGCTAATCTGACGTGTTGATGGGTATCAGAAGACTGCATGGCCTCCTTGAACCAACACGATGCTTCACTTGTGCAGCACAGACCGTGTGCAGCGGTCTGTTGTTAAGATATTTGAAATAGTTCTTATAGTGTTTTGCCTCCTTTAACATTGATGACAGTTTGAAGTCTTTTGTGGTAGTTATGGATGAGGTACTTTATTTTCTCAGATGATAAAGCTGTCCATACAAAATGCAAAATGCCTCCTCTTCCTGTTCTCTGTACAGTAGCTCAGTGATATTGATGCTATCTGCGTGGTCCTATGCTATCAAGCCAAAACTTCCAGGGTATGTAAACTTTTGATCAGGGTCTTGTTTCTGTTGTCTTTATGATTTAAAAAGGGAAAACACAGCTGTGGATAAATGATTTAACCCAACTACTGACCGTGAGTGAAAGTAACGTTTTTGTATTATCATTATTTCTGAAAAATGGACAAAACAAACAAAAAAGCATAACTTCTTCCAGGCTATGTAAACTTATTACCACAACTGTATACACATATATATTTATATACCTGAAAATATCATCCACAGCTCCCCTCGCAGTGACTCTGGTATCCCCATGGCCACAAGCTTTTGGATCTTCTCTGTGCGAAACATGTGGACGCCACGTCCGAACTCAGAGAAATGATCCTCCCACAGCCGCTCCTTCACCTGATTCGTGCTCTGACACAAACACACACATTTCCTGATCCTGACTTACTACATTCAGCTGATGGATATTGTTCTTTTCTAACTCTTAGGGAGAGACGAGCCTTTTAAATCAGATCTGAAGTGACTCTGAATTCATTCGATTGGTTATTTATATATCAAGTTACAGGTTTAGATGAACAGTGTCTCAGACTCCTCCCACCTTGTTGCCGTTGGTTCCTGGTTGATTTTGGTGGAAGGCTGTCATGAGAGCTTCACTGTTGACAGTGTTGCGCAGGACATGCTCCTCTATCTCTTCTTCATCAGAGTACCCAGTGTCATAATAGAAGGTGTAGTAAGGTGTTGGGGAGCTCTGTGGAAAATGTGAGGAACAAAAGAAACGTCAGTAATTACAAACAATATTTCTCTGACTGGATCCCTTTGAAATTAGAGCTGAACAGTGCTTGCAGTACTTCCCTTAGCCGTCATACAGGAAATGTTTCCAGTTCCACATATGGCATTTTAACTTTGATTAGCGAGAACATCATAAAGTGCTTCTAGCAACCGTTTGTCTTTATGATTTTGGTAACAACCCAGTGTACTGAACATTACTGACTAGTTCTTTCTGTTGTGTTGTTGCATTGTTTCATTTTCCATTATCCGTATAAGTGGCAGGTCCCACCCAATTAAACATCCCACTCACCACGCTCCTCTTGCCCTCTTTCCTGCTGCGGAACATGGACCGTTTCCACTGCAGCGCTCGAAGTCTGGAGTTCATGTTCTCAACCAGCTCGTCTCTGTCGTTCAGCTCAATCAGCTGGAAGGCCTTTTTAGTCCGAATACTCACTATGACAGGGTTGGGCAGCGCGCTGGTGCTGTCTGCTTTCTCTATGGACAAAACCTGGTGACAAAAATGGCCAAAAGAAGTGGTAACGCATCATAACACACGCACAGTTGTTCTTTGTGCAAAAACAGAGCAGGAATGCAGACTGGCTCCTGCTGCTCAAGCTGGAATCGAAAGAAGAGAAACATCTTCAAAAGTGGGAATCCAAGAGGCTGAAATGACTAACAACACTGCAGCCACGTACGAAGTATGCAGAATCAGGAGGAGCAGAGGGGTAGGTTAGGTTTGTGAAAGACAATGCTTCAATAGAAAACACAGGATTAGAAAGTACGAATGACTGAACAGATTGAACCACCGGCTAATTCTCACCCCAACCGGTCGCAGCAGATGGCCCCGCCCCTCCCTGAGCCTGGTTCTGCCGGAGGTTTCTTCCTGTTAAAAGATATCTGTTATTAACCTCTGTCTCTCTTCCACAGCATGTCTTTTATCCTGTCTTCCTTCTCTCACCCCAACCGAGCGCAGCAGATGGCCCCGCCCCTCCCTGAGCCTGGTTCTGTTGGAGGTTTCTTCCTGTTAAAAGGGAGTTTTTTCTTCCCACTGTTGCCAAAGTGCTTGCTCATAGGGGGTCATATGATTGTTGGGTTTTT